GTATGTGTTGATTGGATTTGCGGAAATTTCATTGAATTTCTTTGTCTTGTTGAATATTTTTGGTATGCTATGCTTGTTTGGGAACACATGATTGTTTAGGTTAGGATGTTCTTGATAATGGATAGCATGAATTATGATCAAGTTGGTATTTTTTTTGATATTCCATGATTTTGTCAGTTGAAATGTGATTAGCTCAATGCATGAAAACAATTTGGTAAGATTTGAGTCTTTACGAGCATATCACTTTGCTCTCATTTTCTTGGATTGAGTGTGTCAAATTTGACATTGGTATTCTAGAACCTGCATTTTAAATACTGTCGAGGCTACACATGAACATGATGCTTAAAAATGATTTGGGCACTTTAGGATTAACCATTTCGTTTTCCCCACTAAAATTGCCTACCCATGCATTTTCCCCCTAGTTAACCACTTTTGAGTCTATTCTCATTTCTTTGTTTTCACCACATTTATAAACCCGAGCCTTTTATTTTACCTCTCTTTTCTAATCTTTTCTACCCTTTTCAGGGCAAGTGAACATTTTAACCGATGTATGCTTCATGAAAAATAAAAAAAAATTAAAAAGAAGAAGAGGAAACAACAGCATTTCGAAAAAGAGAAGAAGTTGTTCGAAATAAAAAAAAGAGAAAAGACATGATAAAAAATAAAACAACAACAAAAGTGTGAAAAAGAAAAAATCAAATGCATTTCGATTTTTTTTGTTTGATAGTTTGTTTTTCTATCTTGTTGTGCTTAATGTTTTGATGGAGTTGAACTTGTTATTTATTACTACATTGCCTTGAATTTTTAGCTATATATTTAGCCTTATCCCTACCTTTACCTAAGCCCCGTTACAACCAATAAAAGACCATTTGATTTATGCATCGTGTTCTTATTAGTAGTGGATATTTAATTTACTTGTATGCCTATGGTAATATCGTGTCGGTTCTGACATTGAGTGTTTCTATACCCCAAACACATTGAGTGATTTGAGTGAATCCCGGTAAGGTATTGAGTTATAGGATTGAGATTAATGAATGAATGGATGTTACAATTGCATTTGACTTGTTCCAATTTGTGATGTTCAATTGATTGATTTCTTGACTTGAATAATTCTTGTGGTCTCTACCTTGCTTCTTTGAATGTGAAACTTGACAAAGAACGGTAAATGAAAATTTTGACTTATTTGATTATATCACACTTGAGGACAAGCATGAGATAAGTGAGGTGAAATTCGATGAGTGTTCAAAATCGGTAGTATTTGCTCGTTAATTCTTTGATCTTATGGATTTATTGCTGCTGATTTGGTTGTGTTATGTTTATTTTCGTGCATATCCTTAATTTCCAGAACTAGTGGTAAAACGAGCCCTTAATATCTTCGGAATATCTCTCTCAATCTCTGCGCTTATTTTTCAAAATCAAAATAGTTTTCAAAATCAAAGATAGACTTTGGTCAAGAGGTTGTTGCGATTAAATATGTGGGAGGAAGGGTCAGCTTATTGAAAGAACATTCGACTTCCAGGGAACACACTTGGCGAGATAGATTTGCCAAGAGGAAATTGAGATCGGAATTAACGGCTATTAAAGCAACAATCTGAGTCGGTCTCCACGAACTTAAACAATAATTGATCTATGAGAATTGATGTTGATTAGATCAGTTTCTGAAGCCGGAATCAAAGATTGCCTTGGGTATTCAATATACAAAATATAGTCACATGGATTGCCTTTGTAGACAAAGTAACCGACGTGAATCCCAAAGGGAAAATCTAATTCGATGATCTAAAGGAAATTGAGTCAAAGCGAAGCTTGAGGTTGTTTTTACCATATCAATTACAATCTTTATTCTCTTATTTTTTACTCTAATTACTTTTTATTTAATCTCTTTATTACTCAATCATTTTTTTACCAAAACCCCCATGTTACTACATCACGTCTGTCTTAAACAAATCAGACAGAAATTTATAATTTTCTAAGTCCCTGTGGAATCGACCTTTACTTCTCTTTACTACGCATTTTCTTCATTTATCAATTGAGAAGAATAACTTTATTTTGACATCAAAACGACAGTTTTCATAGGTGGTAAATAAGGGGGAGCAATAGACAGTTGGGGGTATTTATGGAAGGCGGAGATGGTGCGTGTTAGCTTTACCACGATGGCGTGGATGGTGATCCGCACTTTGCCGACGTGGCGCCAGCTCTGATGAAAACCTAGGGAATGCGCGTTTGGTGATCCGCAACTTCCATCCATGTCAGCAAATGGGTGTTAGACTAGTAAAATTTGGTCAATGTGTGTCTGACAGGTAATTATTAATTCTTTAGGTGCTTTTTGGGTAAAAACGCCTATAAAGACACATTATTAATTAATTAATATTTGATTAGAAATTTGAGCTTCCTTTGGTTTGAATTTTGGAATTTCTTCACTCAATTAATTCTAAATTTTTCCAAGCGAGATAATATAGATTACTTAGTTCTGCCATGGAAATTTCTTCAGTCCTTCCTTTGTCAAATTTCCTGGTTTTTATAAAGTTGAATAATAGAGAATTTGTTGGAAACATTGGAAATTTGAGCTGGTTAACATCCAGCTGACATATATCACTATATTTTTTCAGTAAAGACACATGTTATTTATTAATTACAATTTGATTAGAAATTTGAGCTTTCTTTAGTTTGAATTTTGGAATTTCTTCACTCCGGTAATTTTAATTTTTTTCCCAAGTGAGAGAATATAAACTAAAGAAATAATACTTAGTTCTGCCATGGAAATTTCTTCGTCCTTCCTTTGTCAATTTGTTAGTATTGGTTTGACTGGTTTAATGGTATAATATAAACGGAGAGTCAATCTATAAAATATAGCTCAAATATTTATGAGATTAGATGTTATTATATCGCATTCAGAAGGTCAACGTCTAGTTAAGGCGAACAACAAATTTTTAAAGGAAACTAATGAGCTTGGAATATATGAATACTCGGATAATTATTTTATAACTTTTAATAGTCAGAAAACTCAACAAAACAATAGGCTATAATCAGGTAACCATTTATAACTTTTAATAGTCAAAGTTAAATAAAACGATGCCTATAAACGAGGACTATTTGTATATCATACATTTTTTAAAATTTTTATTAATAATATATTTTTAAAATTATATAAATGCACCTTCGCTTAAAATTCTTAAAATTTTATAAATATGTCTCATGACATACAATCATGTATGTCTATATTTATAAGAAGGCTTTGTCACACCCCAAAATTTGAATTTAAATTTATTTTGTCTTAATTTTTGGAGCTAAATTGATATACTTTAGAAGTTTGGGGATCATTCTATAACCTTTAGGAAAATTAGGGGTCTAAACCCTATTTTGCCCAACCTTATTTAGCTAAAAAAAAAGAAAAGTAATAGGGGTTTGGTGGGATTGAACTCTGACTCCTAGTATAGTGACTTAGCCTATTTAAATTTTGGGGTGTGAGCTTAATACTAAAATAAATATTTAAATTATATTTTTTTATCGATCAAGTGTCTAAACTATTTTTTTATTTATCTTAATGTTTAACGTTTTCTTCGTTATTATTTTAAGTGTCTAACATTTTTTCCATTATCATTTTAGGTGCTCAGATATTAACTACTGTTAAAAAATCACGTTAAGTGATACATGTACGTTCTGGTAATTTTGAGAATTTTTATTTAAAATAAAAAATAAAAAATATAATCTTTAAAAACTATTTTTTCAATTTTTTTTAAAAAACCAAAACTTTTAAAACCTTAATTTTAATCTTTTTGCCACCGTCGACCGCCATCAACACTGTCAATCGACTGAACACCCAACGACATGTAACTGGCCAACCACCCACAAACAGAACTTCCATATTTTCGTAACCGATCGAACACTAAATCCCCTTAAATATATAAATTCCTAAACATAAATAGTTAGACCTAATACTCAAATCCCTAACCATATTCCAAAATTTTTATTAAATTGAACCTAAAATATAATTAATTGAAGCATGGGGATGATAGGGAGAGCACAAGTGAAGGGAATGACGGGGAGAGCACCGGCGAAGGGAAGGGGGAATGCAACAGGGTGGGGGTGGCGGTGGGGTTGGAATTGTGCAGAATTTTTTTAAATTTTAAAAATATTTTTTAAAAAGTAAAATTCTCAAAATTATCGGAATAAGACATGTGTCACTTAATGAGGGTTTTAACGACGGTTAATGCTCGAACACCTAAAATGATAACGAATAAAATATTAGACACCTAAAATGGTAACAGAAAAAACGTCAGGTATCAAGATGATGCCGGACAGAATAGTGATTATCCTGCATGCTAGTTCTAACAGAAGTTGCACAAGAGAAAATTCGCCCAAAAATCAGAGAAAAAAGTCTCTAAGGTTTAATAAAATATCATAAAATTAATCAATACCAAAATCAGTTCACAAGCCGGACTGTTATAGCAAAAAAAATCTTGTTTATCGGAATTTTACCAAAAATAGCAAAATCCCGAAAATCACTATAAATTGAAATTCAAAATAAAATAAGCAATCTGCAAAAAATCCGGCCGAAATTAGATTTAAAGTGACTTCCTAATTGACAATCGAAATATTACCATAAATAGTAAAAAATATCTAAATCTATTGATTCGGAGGGAAAACAGCAAAATATGAGGTCGAAAAAAGGCCATATGGAGCGTAGCTCGATGTGGACATCGTGCACGTCGAAAAGAACTTTCCGGATTGAGATCTTATGCGCGATTCTGATACTCGTAGCCAAAGTTATGGCCAAAAGACTGAAACACACACAAAACGGCCCTAACGAGGAACATATTACAATCAATTCTCGCCTTTGCGTTGATCTGCCAACTCATGGTATCTCAGCGCCATTAAGGTGTAATCTGACAGCTCAACATCATATGTCTTGGATCCCCTGCATCACAAGATAAATAAAAAAATAATTTAAACACTTATTTAAAAAATAAACACTTATTTTGATTCCAACCTTATCAGAAACATTGGCCTATTAATAGCAGTGGAGAGGGAGGGGATGCTTAACCCAACGGAGCAAGTGAATAGAAAATATATAAAAAATGAAAGCATTATTTGCGATACTATGCATTCTCCTCGCTTCCGCTCTCTTTATCTCCACTTTCACTATGGCTCGGGAATCGATCGAGAAGGGTAAGGAACGTCAACGCTTTTATTGTAATTTCCAATTAATATAGATCTTTTCTATTGTAATCGGATATATTGATTGGGCTTTCAATTTTGCAGAAAACATCTATGCTCGTCGACTAGGTCAGAGCCCTCAACCTCCTGTTTGCCACTGTCCCAGGTGTAGCCCAGGCTGCCATCCTATTCCGTCTCGATCTTGAATGCTGTGGGAAAACAAAGCCATATTGGTGAAACTGTAATGAAGTATATGGAGATTCCCTAAGATATGTATTGTCTGTGTTTTTTATGCTATTTCTCTCTCTATAAATTGTTCTTTTCAAAGTTTTTAGATTCAAACTATTAATTATACAGTCTGTACGTTATCGATAATTAAAAATAATTCTAAATAAATATAATCTTATAATCATCTCTTTCAGACTATTCTGAAAAAGTTCAGTCATCGAAGCTAGCTTTCATACAATCTTAGATCAATTTAGTTCTTCTCTTGACATAGCAGGGGGTGGAGTGGAAGAGGCTATTTGGTTTTGTTGACTGATTCAATAATAGTGTTAAATTGGATCGAGAGCGCATTACATTGACTATGGAAGTGATGGGGCTTATTCGTGGAAAAAGACCAAGCAATTTCTAGGATTAAACATGTTGGTTTCAACCATGCTCCTCGTTCCAAAAATGAAATGGCGACAAACTTAGCAAAGAGTGGATCGGCCAGAGAAGAGCTGTTCAATGCGTGGTGGTGAACCAAATAGTGTCTCTATTTCTTTGACTATGTTAGATTGGATATTAGTATGACCATAAAATACTTATCAAATACATTCAAAACAAGAAAGACCCTAAAAATGACTAACATATGGTACTTGTATTTTGTAGTTAAAATAACAAATGCCTTCTCATCAAACTCATTCCATATCTGTCAATAACTTGACTTTGATCTCTTCTAGCTTTCTGACAACTTCTTGCATACCAAGCCTTTCATCTGGTATCTCTACTGAACATTCTAAGGCTACTTGCAAAATCAAAAATGCACAATTGTTGGCTGATAAATATTTCCTCCTCGAAAAGCTTACAGAATTTGTCTCCAACTTGGTTCAGCATATATTGTAACGTCTCTTTCACGAAACTCCTCAAGCTCATTTCTTCGGAAAACATTTCATCCGTTGGCTTCTTTCTCATGATCATTTCCATCATAAGAATACCAAAACTATACACATCACCTTTTATTGAAACAATTCCTTCTGATCCATACTCTGTATATGCGTTTATAAAAAAAATTATCAGTATTCAATAAAAGATATGTTATAAATTATCTAAAGAAAAGAAGAGGCCTCACCTGGTGCCATATATCCAAAGGTTGCAAGGGTCACGGTTTGGATCATTGAAACCTTTTCACATAAGAGTTTTGCGATTCCGAAATCACTCAAATGTGCAACCATATCTTCATCTAATAGAACATTGCTGGGCTTTAAATCGCTATGAACCACTGGTGTTTTAAGACCATGATGAAGATATTCCAGAGCAGATGCAACATCTATCAGTATGTTCAGCTTTTGTTGGATATCCAGAAAATGATTGTTGGAATACAACCATTTATCAAGGCTCCCATTAGGCATAAACTCAAGTACCAAGGCTTTGAAATCATGATTAGTAGAGCACTGACCGATGATTTTGGTTAAATTCCGGTGACGGATGTTGTGAAGAACTTCACATTCAACGTCATAGCTCTTGGAGGCTCCTTTTAGCTCTAACTTGAAGACTTTTACAGCAAATGTCATTCCATCTGGGAGAGTCCCTTTATATACTGAACCATAGCTCCCACTACCAAGCAATCTGCTATCATTGAATCCATTAGTAGCTTGATGAAGCTCTCGATATAAAAATCGTCTCCACATTCCTAAAGGTAGGAAGTCTTCTTGAGTTTCCAATGTTTCTTTCTTCTTCCTAGTTCGGAAGACAATGACAATTAGAGCCACCACCAAAATTGTAGAGGCAATCGGCAGTGCTACAGCTACATATCTTATGAGCTTACGTCTTGCCTTGTTATTTCTAAGAGGTGTAGTTATGCAGCTTGGAACATGAAATCGGGCTGCACCACACAATGCTCCATTCCCCTTAAATGATTCGATCGAGTAGTTTCTGAACGTTCCTCCACCAGGAATTTCTCCTTGAAGTCTATTGAAAGAGACATTGAAATATTTGAGAAAACGGAGTTTCTCCAAGGACCTGGGAATTTCTCCGGATAGAATATTTCTCGACAAATCCAAGGATTCCAAGCCCCGCAAGTCACCAAATGAATCAGGAATAGAACCTGTGATTCTATTATTGGATAAGGAAAAATAAGAGAGGTCATCGAGTTCTGCCACTCCAATAGGGATATCACTCGAGAACTGATTGTTCGACAAATCCATGATATTCACAACTTTCCAGTTTCCAATATCAATTGGAAGAGGACCGGTGAGAGAATTTAAACTTCAATTACGCACAAAAATTGAAGTTGAATTATCAATCGTGGCCACTTCCACAACCATAAATGCAAAAAGAAATAATTGGATGCGATGGTGGAGAAGTTGGTAATTTCACATGAAGAATTCATTGCCTTCAGAAAAAATTCCAAGGGAAAACTGAAGTGCATCTGCAAGAGCTGGATAAACAAGTGAGCCAATTAGCTCAAAATATGGGCAGACTTGAGTCGTAGGGAAGACTACCTTCTCAAACGGAGTCAAACCCGAGAGAGAATGTTAGTGCTATTACACTCCGAAGCGAAACAATTATCAATCCAGAAGTCCCAGAAGAGGAGGTCGTAAATTCCAAAGAAAAGAAAGACACGCCACAAGCCAACGATCAAGGTATGACTTCTTCACCTTTGTCTTCTTCTTTTTCTTCTAAAAAATGCTCTTCCTCCTTTTTCTCATTCTCCCCATGAAAATGCACCACCCTTCGTATCAAGATTGTTGAGCCGTGATAAAAGAGCCGAGGAGAAAGAAATTATAGAAATATTTCAGAAAGTACAAGTTAACATACCTCTCCTCAAATTTATTCGACAAGTTTTGAGGTATGCCCTATTTTTTAAAGAACTTTGTACCACAAATATGAGATTGATTGGTCAAGAGAAGGTGAATATGAGAGCATGTTTTTGTGGTCTGGAAACGGAAGCTGCCGCCAAAGATGAAGGATCAAGGTATGTTCGTCATACCTTGTAAAAATAGGTTATTTCCCAATTAAACGTGCAATGTGTGATTTAGGAGCCTCTATTAACATTATGTTTCTTTCTATTTATAAAATGATTACTAACGAGCCTTTGAAAAAATAAGAGTGACTATACAGTTGGCAGACCTCTCTGTCATCTACCCGAAATGAGTGCTCGAAAACATTTTAGGAAGGGTCTATATTATTATTATTCCTAATGACTTTTATGTAATTGATATGGAAAATGACGGGACAAATACTTGTTCTGAAGTACTATTGGGCCGACCCTTCCTAAGCACCGCGCATACAAAAATCGATGTAAAAAGCGGTATATTGACTATGGAGTTTGATGGTGAGGTCTTCAAATTCGATGTTTATAAGGCTATGAAATACCTAGATCGAGTTGAAAGAATTAATTTTTTCGATATTGTTGATCCTTTAATTGATGAGTTTATTGAGGCTAATTTTTCTTATAATATTTGTAGGGATTTTGAACTTTGCTGCAGAGACGAAGAAATGGAGTTTAAAAAATTTCGATTAATTCTAATTTGATTTTACTTTTGTCTAATACTAAAATGTTACCTTTCTATTTTGCAGGCACCTGAGTTAGATATAAAAAAATTACCGGAGCATTTGAAATATGCCTTTTTAGGTGAAAATGAGACTTTACCCGTAATCATCTCAAACAAGTTATCTGAAGTTGAAGAAAAGGCATTAGTGAAGGTGTTGCATGCATAAGGAAGCCATAGGATGGACAATTGGAAACATCAAAGGGCTTAGTCCCTCGACCTGAATATACAAAATAAAAAATTGAAGAATGAGCAAATCCATCACGAGAAGGCAACATCGATTAAATCCACCAATGATGGAAGTAATAAAAGAAGACATTCAGAAACTTCTTGATGCCGACATAATCTATCCAATTTCAGATAGTAATTGGGTAAATCCAATATGTAGTTCCCAAGAAAACGAGAGTTACAATAATTGAAAATCAAGAAAGGGACTTAGTACCAACAAGAGTTCAAAACTGATGGCGAGTTTGCATTGATTATAGGAAGTTGAACTCTCTCACTAGAAAAGATCATTTCAATCTTCCCTTTATAGATCAAATGATTGAGAGATTAGATGAGAAAACTCATTACTATTGTCTTTATGGTTTTTCATGTTTTTCCAAATCCCAGTGGCGTCTGGAGATTAAGAAAAACTACTTTTACTTTTCCATTTGACACTTTTGCATATCGTCGGATGCCTTTTGGTCTTTTTAATGCACCGGCTACCTTCCAGAGATGTATGCTGAGCATCTTTTCCGACTATGTAGAAGAGGGCATCAAAGTCTTCATGGATGACTTCACGGTATAAGGTAATGCTTTTAATGAGTGTCATGATAATTTAACTAAAGTGCTTCAGAGATGCCTAGAATTTAATATTGCTTGAACTATAAAAAATGTCATTTTATGGTTGATAAGGAATTAATTCTAGGCCATATTGTTTTATCTCATGGTATTGTCGTTGATAAAGAAAAACCAGATGTTATACGTTCATTACCTTACCCTACAACTGTGAGGGAGGTTCGATCCTTTCTTGGCCAACGCAGGTTTTTACCAGAGATTTATTAAGGATTTTTCAAAGTTTGCGCAGCCAATGTGTGATTTACTACAAAAAGATAAAGTCATTTGATATGCTTAAAGAGAAATTGATCACGACACCAATCGTTAAAGCTCTAAATTGGAATTACGATTTCGAGCTTATGTGTGACACATTGGATACAAGTATTGGAGCCGTTCTTGATCAAAGAATCCGAAAAGAACCATATGTTACCGTCTACGCTTCACAGACTTTAGATTCAGCTCAAAAAAATTACTCCAATGAAAAAGAATTACTTTCTATTGTTTTTGCTTTAGATAAGTTTAGATCTTATTTATTAGGAACTAAAGTGGTTGTTTTTCTAATCATGCAACTTTAATGTACCTGATGAGTAAAAAATAGGCGAAACCAAGACTTATCTGATGGATCCTTCTTTTCAAGAGTTCAATTTAGAAATAAAGGACAAGAAAGGATGCGAGAACCTTGTTGCAGATCATTTGAGCCACATTATGCTTTCCTTAACCGGTCCATCACTTCGAGAAGAATTCCCAGAGGAGCATCTGATGTTGGCGTAAAAATCAATTCCTTGGTATGTGGACATGGTAAATTATCTGGCCACAGGTAAATTGCCTCTAGATTTACATAAGTCTGAAATTAAAAGGTTAAAGCAAAATTCCATATTTTATGTTTGGGACGATCCTTATTTGTGGAAGCAATGCTTGGATCAGGTAATTAGACGTTCATTGCTAAGGAAGAGGTAAATTCTATACTTAATTTATGTCACTCTTATTCAAAATATTTTTAGGATTTATCTTTTTTAATTTTTAGTATAATTTAGGGTTTTAAAGGCTATAAATACCCTCTTAAAGTAAGTCTATTTCATCATTTTTTTTCTTCAGAATTATCGAAAATATTTATTCTCTTGTTCTTTGTTTTTCTTGTTTATTTTTAAAAAATTTCTTTAGCTTTACTTTGTTCATTTCTTTTATGTTCTCATTTTCAAAAAAGAAAAAGAAAAGAAAGAAAAGAAGAAGCTAAGTATGACTCTTGTCATGCTTAGATAATTTTCTTCTAAGTCGAGGGCAAAAACGATGATTCAATTGTAACATGAGTATTGAATAGCACTAAAGTAACTTCGGATACATTTCTCACTTCTCTGCACTTATTTCAAATCAAAACAATTTCTAAAACCAAAGATAGGCGATGGTCGGAATATTGTTGCGACTAAACATGTGGTAGGAAAGATCGGCTAATTGATAGCACATTTGACTTCCTGGGAACACAATTAGCAAGTTGTTTCTAAAGATGAGATTGAGGTCAGAAACGGTTTTAATTGAAAGAACCATCAATGCCAATTTTTATGCACTTAAAAGATTTTGGTCTACAACACTGTTGTTACCTAGATCAATTTCCAACGCCGAGATCAAAGAATTACGCTTGGGGTATTCGATATACAAAGCTAGTCGCAAGGATTTGTCCTTGTAGAAAAAGTAACCGACGTGAATCCCTAAGAGTAAATCTTGTTCGATGATTCGAAGAAGTTGAGTCAGAGCTAACGCCCAAAGCTGGTTTTTCCAATTAAGGTTCCATGTTCTATTTTTCTACACTTTCTTTAAACCTATTTTCCTCTTAATTTTTCTTTACAATTCTTTACTTTTTACTTATTTTATTCTCCAACTACACAATTCCCCCATTTCATTTCTTTCAACTCCAATACACGCCAAGGTCCAAAGTCAAGAACAAAGAATTTCTCTTTAGTCTTTGTAGGATCGACCCTTACTTCTCCTATACTATATTTAATTTCCTTATTTTTTGAGAAGAATGAATTTATTTTGACGTGAAAAACAACATTCGTCAGTTTGGTATCCGTTTAGAGTTTTTCTTAGCCTATTGATAGCGCAGAGACCCTACAAAAGCAGTTGCTCGAATCTAGGACTTCTAAGGAGAACAATATTTCATTTTACTATCGAGACCATTCAATGGATTCTAATGGATGAGATTAAAGCAGCTGAACAGGGGGTGATTCTAGCAGAAAACAGTAAATATGAGAATGTCATTTTGGAAACTGATTCTTTAGAAGTGTTTCTCTAGTCTTACATGAAAAGATTACAAGGTTAGATGGAGAAATATGCCTGTAGTTTTTTATATTAAACAAATGTTGCAGAAAATACATGAGGTGAATATTAGATTGGATATTAGTATGACCATAAAATACTTATCAAATACATTGCTTCAAAACAAGAAAGACCCTAAAAATGACTAACATATGGTACTTGTATTTTGTAGTTAAAATAACAAATGACTGATCATCAACTCATTCCATATCTGTCAATAACTTGACTTTGATCTCTTCTAGCTTTCTGACAACTTCTTGCATATCAAGCCTTTCATCTGGTATCTCTACTGAACATTCTAAGGCTACTTGCAAAATCAAAAATGCAGAATTGTTGGCTGATAAATGTTTCCTCCTCGTAATGCTTACAGAATTTGTGTCTCCAACTTGGTTCAGCATATATGGTAACGTCTCTTTCACGAAACTCCTCAAGCTCATTTCTTCGGAAAACATTTCATCCGTTGGCTTCTTTCTCATGATCATTTCCATCATAAGAATACCAAAACTATACACATCACCTTTTATTGAAACAATTCCTTCTGATCCATACTCTGTATATGCGTTTATAAAAAAAATTATCAGTATTCAATAAAAGATATGTTATAAATTATCTAAAGAAAAGAAGAGGCCTCACCTGGTGCCATATATCCAAAGGTTGCAAGGGTCACGGTTTGGATCATTGAATCCTTTTCACATAAGAGTTTTGCGATTCCGAAATCACTCAAGTGTGCAACCATATCTTCATCTAATAGAACATTGCTGGGCTTTAAATCGCTATGAACCACTGGTGTTTTAAGACCATGATGAAGATATTCCAGAGCAGATGCAACATCTATCAGTATGTTCAGCTTTTGTTGGATATCCAGAAAATGATTGTTGGAATACAACCATTTATCAAGGCTCCCATTAGGCATAAACTCAAGTACCAAGGCTTTGAAATCATGATTAGTAGAGCACTGACCGATGATTTTGGTTAAATTCCGGTGACGGATGTTGTGAAGAACTTCACATTCAACGTCATAGCTCTTGGAGGCTCCTTTTAGCTCTAACTTGAAGACTTTTACAGCAAATGTCATTCCATCTGGGAGAGTCCCTTTATATACTGAACCATAGCTCCCACTACCAAGCAATCTGCTATCATTGAATCCATTAGTAGCTTGATGAAGCTCTCGATATAAAAATCGTCTCCACATTCCTAAAGGTAGGAAGTCTTCTTGAGTTTCCAATGTTTCTTTCTTCTTCCTAGTTCGGAAGACAATGACAATTAGAGCCACCACCAAAATTGTAGAGGCTATCGGCAGTGCTACAGCTACATATCTTATGAGCTTACGTCTTGCCTTGTTATTTCTAAGAGGTGTAGTTATGCAGCTTGGAACATGAAATCGGGCTGCACCACACAATGCTCCATTCCCCTTAAATGATTCGATCGAGTAGTTTCTGAACGTTCCTCCACCAGGAATTTCTCCTTGAAGTCTATTGAAAGAGACATTGAAATATTTGAGAAAACGGAGTTTCTCCAAGGACTTGGGAATTTCTCCGGATAGAATATTTCTCGACAAATCCAAGGATTCCAAGCCCCGCAAGTCACCAAATGAATCAGGAATAGAACCTGTGATTCTATTATTGGATAAGGAAAAATAAGAGAGGTCATCGAGTTCTGCCACTCCAATAGGGATATCACTCGAGAACTGATTGTTCGACAAATCCATGATATTCACAACTTTCCAGTTTCCAATATCAATTGGAAGAGGACCGGTGAGAGAATTTGAAGACAAGTTCAGGATCAGGATAGTAGTAAGCCCTGTCAAGGTTGAAGGTATTGAAGAAGAAAACATATTAGAGCCAAGGAGTAGTTGCCTCAAAGAAATGAGATTACCCAAGCAAGCAGGTATCGGTCCAGACATTTTGTTGTTCGACAAAACCAAGAATCCCAACTTGTTTAGCTGACATAACTCAGAGGGGATCGGTCCTTCTAACTGATTGTCCCCAAGAGAAAGACTTTGCAGCTCTTTTAATCCTCCGATGGTAGTAGGAATCACCCCTGTCAATTTATTGTCACCAAACTTTATGTCTATCAAGTGACTCAAGTTGCCAAATCCACTCGGGATGCTGCCGCTGATGTTGCACTTTGAAGCAGAGAATCTCTGAAGAGAATCCGAGAGATTTCCGACCAAACCTGGAAGTTCACCACTGATCAATACGTTGTCGCTGAAGTCCAAGACTTCCAAGCCTCTACAATTTGTCAAAGAATAAAGAAAGCTCAATCTTGAAGAAGTGAGATTATTAACATCCAAGTTGAGTCTCTTCAAATTTCTCAGATTGCCAAGAGTGTCGGGGATGGACCCTGAAAAGAAATTATGAGAGATGTCGAGAGTAGTAAGCTGAGAGGCATTGGAAATGGACATTGGGAATGGACCAACGAGTCGATTATTTGCAAGATATAACTCCTCCAGGTTGGGAAGCCAAAGCCCCGTGTTTGATGGAAGACTGCCCGAGAGCTGATTACTTTCAAAAGAAATGGTAGACAGAGTCGACATATTAAATATAACGGGAGGAATTTGACCAACAAAAATTATTATCTCCCGCACTAAAAAATTCCAGATTCTTTAGGTTGCCAATCTGCTCTGGTATTGTACCTGACATAAATTTTATCAAACAAATACATAACTACAAATAGATAGAATTTAGAATAAAAGAACTATACTATCTGTTATGATTATGAATTTATCAAAACACGAATAAAAGTTTAGTCTATATATATAGGATGGGTTTGTCGTGCTCGATGAGCACCTCTAAGCATCATTAACGATGAGTATCGTTGAGCACCATTAATTTAATTTATAAAAATTTAAAATTCTAAAAGACTCAACGTATAATTATAAATTAGTTAAAATTTAAAGGTAAATTATTTAAAATAAAATATTAATATTACATTATTTTTCATAATTTTTTTAACAATAAAAAATATAATTTACCTTTAAAAATTATTTAAAAATTATGGAAAATAATGTAATTAATATTTTATTTTAAATAATTTAACTTTAAATTTTTAACTTATTTATAATCACACATTGAGTCCTTTAAAATTTTAAAGTTTATAAATTAAATTAATGATGTTCAGCAGTGCTCCTCGAACATCGTAGAATTAGAATTTTACCTGTATATATGTATTAAAAAAATATAAATTAAGAGAAAAAATGGAAAGTATTTTTTACCCATTTATACCTGTGAAGTTGTTACGAGAACAATCGATCATTTTGAGAAGAGTCAGATTCACAATCTTTTCTAGAATTCCACCTGAAATTAAAAAAAAACAATCGCAAATCAAATTACAAACCTTTTTTTTATTATTTTTCTTTGATTTTGTATTTAAAGTATCTCACTTTTTATTATATTAGTCTATTTTTCATTTATAATTAAAATTTTCTAACTATATATGTTCATTCATGTAATAAACAAATCTAATTTCTTTTAATTCTTTTAATAATTAGGCTAAACTACCTATTTAGTCACCAGCCTATTCTTATAATTTCTTTTTAGTCACTCAACTATTTTTTTTTTCAAAATCATACCTAACGCTATGTTCTTGTTTCGTTTTAGCCACCCACCGTTAAAAATAAATAGTAATATTGATGTGTCATAATAATGTAATGCCATATCATCATTAAAAAATGAAAAAAATTGATGCGTCAACGGTTTTGTGTATTTTTAACATTAGATGACCAAAAAGTAATATGAAGTATGAGTGTACATTACCTTGAAAGTTGTTATCACCAATAAAGAAGAATTGAAGCATGTTTAAATTCCCAATTTCAACTGGTAGACTCCCCTCCAATTGGTTAGTTGACAAGGACAGTAATTGTAACTTTCTGCACTTGAATAAACTGCTTGGAATTCTACCAGAAAGCCTGTTAACACTCGACGAAAATTCTTTCAAATTCGGAAGACGATCGAACATATCGTCTGGAAAATGGCCAGTGAGATTATTGAAGTTGAAATTGAGGAGTTCAAGCCAAGGCAAATCGATTGGAACAAAGGGTAAGGAACCGGTGAACATATTAGTCCCTAGATCAATAATTTGCACCGAAGATATATTGAAGATGGAGGATGGTATTGAACCCGAAAGCTGGTTCCCATACAAGCTCAACTCCTCTACCTTTGACAAATAGCCTAAAGAGAATGGGATAACACCATTGAAGTTGTTATAGTACAGACGCAACACCCGAAGCTCAGTTAATGATCCTAACCACGATGGGATTTCTCCACTGAAGCTGTTGTTGCCGAAGTCTATATGTTTCAGCCGGTGCAGATTTGATAACTGGACTGGTAATCTTCCATGAAAACTGTTTTCTGTGATGGAAATAAGAGAAAGGAATGATAGATTTCCTAAGTGGGGTGGGAGGGTGCCTACAAGTCCCAACCCAGTAAGGTTTAGAGCTGTGACTCTGCGGTGGTTGGATCCGCAGATGACACCAAACCAATTGCAGACAGGGGAAGAAGATGACCAATTGGTTGCCAACACATTTTGAGGATCGTGGATAACATGGTCTTTGAATGCGAGAAGGGCCGACTGGTCTGTAAGAATGGTGGTTAAGTTCATGGAGAAAGAAGGCAGAGAAAAATGGAAGAAGATGATAAGAAGAGTTAAGATGAAAAAAGTGTTCCCCATTTGATTTTGGGTGGTTGAGTCAAGCCACCAAGGAAGGCACCAGTTTGATATCTAGATAACTCATTCTTTATACACACTAGAGTGGACCCATGCATTGCAGCACTAATTATTGATTTTTTTTTAACTCAATCCATCAAATAATTTTTCATCTATAATTGTATGGTATTATCGACTGTCATCGTAAATCCAGAAATTAAAAAATATGATCAGAAAATTTAATATTCTTTTTCGTAAAAATAATAGATATGTAAAAATTTTGTTTTTTTATTTTCCCTTAACTTTTTAAATTAAATTTCATTTTTTTTCTAAATAAGAGTATGCACTTATCCCAATTATGTGGATTTGCAAGGAGTTGACTTTACAAGTTTCTAAAATGACATTCTTTGACTTTGATGCTTGGAAAAACATTTAAGTGGTGGATGTATATGGCCTGAAAAGTGGGTAACTGCCCACCCAGGAATTTTCTAAAATATAAAATCTTTTTATAAATTTTCAAATTTTTTCATTTAATTATTCATTTTATTGATTATGTTTATCTTAAATTTTTATTGTGCTAACCTTAAAATTATAAAGTATTCAATTGCAAAAAAAAATTATATTATAAATATAAGCGTGCCTACTTTAAAAAAATTTATAGACCTATCACTTACAACCCTACATTTAAACTAAGAACGACTACCCCAAGCTATCGACTCAAAAGAAAAAACTCTCAATTATTTGATAATGAATTTTTAAAATTTAAGACTTAAATATTCTATAATAGTCAGTGCTCGAACTTAACACCTCTACAGATAATGATCATCCTTTTAATTATTAGTATCATTTTATTCGTACTTAATTTATGAAGGATATAATGTTTTAAGATTATGATATATGATAAAAAAATAACATTTTCATCACGAGAAAAGTAAAGAATTACGTGGAAATATATATATATATATATATATATTAATATTCAAGCTGCTTAACCTATTTTTTTATCGATGACACTTTAGAAAATTTAAACATATGTCAACTTTTTAAATTTTCGAACTATAAATTAAAATTATATAAAAATAAAAAATGATTCGATTCCAAATAAAATTGAAACCAAATTTCGACATGGTGGACTTGTTATCAGAATTCTAAACACGGTTTGGAAGATTGAACACAGAAATTTCCACACCCAAAAATTCAACAACTGAACACGGAAAATCCACACAAAATTCAACCTTGATATTTTAATATTGAAAATTGAGGATTTAAAACCTACAAATTTCTAAACCAATTAAGTGTTTGGAAAACTGAAAATGAAGTTTGTATTGATAATATTGAAAATTAAAAATCTAGACATTATCTTGGGAGAAGGGATTAAGTTCAAGAATTAACTATCTTGGGTGGCCAAAATAATAAATTTCTACTAAAATGTTAATGTCTTAAAAGCTAGAAAATAATTTAGGTGGTTTACCTAATATTATTATGATGCAAATGAATAGAATGTTCGATGAATTATTCGTGAACAGTTCATATAACCTTCGTTTAATATAAACGAGTTTAATCAAATTTTACAAATAGAGGTATGTTCGGTTCGTTTATGTTCACGAACAAACTCATTTATCAACTCGTTTATTAGCTTGTTTAATTTGTTCTCCTTTTTTATATATATTTTAATATTTTAAATATTGATAAAGATAGAGACTAAATTCGTATTTTTTACAAGTTGAATTTGTTCCGGTTCACGCTCATCACGATCATGATAAAATTTAAAATCTGTTTTAGCGTGAATCATATGCGTCTTCCGTTAATTCATATAACAGTTTGGGTATAGATAAGTTTCGTCAAATAATATGAGACTATAAATACATCAAATTAGTTGATAAATGATTAAAATATCATTTCTTTGAAATTATAATTATAATTAAAATTACTGTGGTGTTCATTTTGTTTCTTTACTAAAATCTTGTGAAATTATATTTTGAATTTTCTTCTCTCAATTGATTCTAAGTTTTTCCAAGTGAGAGAATAAACCAAAGCGACCGCAGTTGGGTTTACTTTGTCATCTTCTTGTACAAAATTGGTGTTGTGGAATACGACTATCGAATAGAGCAAAATCGTAACTGATAATTTGAGAAAATAAAATGAAGATAAAGAATACACAAATTTTACGTGGAAAACCCCTAAATAATATAGGGTAAAAACCACGGGCAACGGTAGAAGAATTTCACTATGAGAAAATAGGAATTATAATCTTTCTCGATCTAACAAGGAGAAAACAATGACAATTCTCTCTTGATAAAAGGGAGAAAACAACTCTCAAGAAAACTCTCTAAATTCTCTAGTATTATGAGAAAGCTAGAATGATTTGGGATTGTTTTGAAGCTAAATGGGTTAGGGTATTTATAGTTGAAGCTTAAGGACTAATCTTGTAAATACCCTAAAGTACAATGACTAAAATTGATATTTTACCATTACTCAATTTCAACAAAAATTAGGTGCCTAATATTTTTACTTTAACTATGCACCATTCGGTGCCTAATTTTATTTAACTTTTAACAATCTCCCACTTGAAGATTTGATTGGAATAATCATATCTTTACAACATTCTTTCTACCTTGTACTTTCATGTTGCTTGCGTTTCTGACAGGCCACAAGAGGATCGACACCAGGTAAATTTATCAGCATTGATCGCCTTCGTCATGAAATATGTTATGTTGTCTTTGGTATGGATCTTCTGCATATCTACTGTCCCTTCTTCCACCTTTTCACGAATGAAGTGGTACTGAACTCGTATGTGTTTTGTTCTTGAATGAAATGTTGGATTCCTTGCTAGATGCAATGCGCTTTGACTGTCACAAAACAGAGAGACATACTCTTGATTGTGCCCAAGCTCCTCCAATAGCATCTTCAACCAAATTGCTTCTTTACTGGCTTGTGTAGCTGCTAAATATTTTGCTTCTTTTGTGGATGTAGCCACAACTGACTGCAATTTTGAAACCCAGCTTATAGCTCCACCAGCAACTTTGAACACATATCATGTAGTAGATTTGCTTTTATCCAAATCCCCTGCATAGTCAGAATCAACATACCCATTGATAAGTAAATTTGATCTTCCGTAACATAATGCAACATTTGAGGTCCTTTTGATGTATCTCAAAACCATCTTTACTTTATTCCAATGCTCTTTGTCTGGATTCGCCATGTACCGACTAACCACTCCCACTGCTTGTGCAATATCTGGTCTTGTGCATATCATAGTGAACATTAAACTTCCCACTGCTGATGTATACGGTACTCGAGACATCTCCATCCTCTCTTATTCACTGCTAGGACTCATACTGGAGGATAATTTGAAGTTAATAGGAAGAGAGGTAAAAATTGGCTTACAATCTTGCATGTTGAATCGTGACAATATCTTTTTCAAGTAATTCTTTTGTGAAAGTCAAATCTTCATATTACTTCTGTCTCGGTAAATTTGCATCCCTAGAATCTTGTTTGCTGATCCCAAGTCCTTCATTTCAAATTCACTAGCCAGTTGTGCCTTTAATTCTTCAATATGATCTTTGTTGGGTCCTGCAACCAACATGTCATTCCACATACAACAGCAATATAAAAAAATCGTTATCACCAAACCTCTTGAAATAAGCACAAGGGTCTGCATTAAGTTTGTTGTATCCAAGGCACATAATGAAGGAATCAAATCTCTTATACCAACACCTCGGTGCCTGCTTTAAATCGTACAGAGATTTGTTCAAATTGCAAACCAAGTTCTTCTTTTCGTCTTCTTCAAAACCTTCAGGATGGAGCATATAAATCTCTTCTTCAAGATTTCCATGAAGAAAAGTTTTTTAACATCTAGCTGCTCTAGATGTAAGTTCAATGTGGCACACATTGTCAAGACTACTCGAACTGTTGTTAGTCGAACCACAGGAGAATTTTTTTTTATTGAAATAAATACCTTCTTTTTGAGCATATCCTTTGACCACCAGTCTTCCACGATACCTCTCCACTTGATCGTCACCATTTCGATTGATTTTGAAGACTGAAGACCCGTTTGTTACCAATTGGCTTCATTCCTTGTGGTAGTGGCACAAGGTCTCATGTATTATTTTTATGAAGGGATTCAATTTCTTCTTGCATCGCCATCATCCACAGTGAAACATCTGAGCTGTTTATTGCCTCCTGGTATGTTGATGGCTCACTGTTCTCTGTTAAAAGGCAGTATGCAATATTTCCTTCTATAACATAATTTGAGTGCCAATTGGGACGTCTTCTCACACGATCAGGTTGACGAGTTGTTGGAGCTTCAGAACTCTCTGATTCTTGTTCATCATGTGATGGTTCTGCTTCAGAAGAATCTCCTTGTTCAACCTCATTTTCCACATGTATCTATGTAGTCTCTGACTTTTCAGTGCTATCATCTTCTTCTTTTCTTTATAGTTTATCTTCTACAAAGATAACATCCTTGCTAATGATCACTTTACGGGAAGTGGGATCCCACAAGCGATACCCCTTTACTCCATCAACATACCCCAAGAATTTGCATTTCCTGGATTTTGGATCCAACTTCGAAATTTCTTGGGAGTTGTACATCACGTACACAATACTTCCAAATACATAGAGGTTTGAATAATCAGTTGGTTTACCAGTCCACATCTCCATTAGTGTCTTCAGCTCTATTACAGTTGATGGAGTTCGATTCACCAAATAACATGCGATATTGTCTGCTTCTGCCCAGAATGATTTTTCTAGGCCTGCATCCCTCAATATTGCTCTTGTTCTTTCTAAGAAGGTTTTGTTCATCCGCTCTGCCACTCCATTTTGTTGAGGAGTGTTCACCACTGTGAACTGTCTTTTGATGCATTATTTCCTGCAAAAGTCATCAAATTCTTCACTTGTGTATTATCCTCCATTATCTGTTTTGAAACACTTGATCTTATTTCCAGAATCAAGTTCCACCCGTGCTTTTAAGTTTTTGAAAGTTGAAAACACATCTGACTTCTTCTTAATAGGGTACACCCAAC